AGATATATTTCTAATTAACTTCAAAAAGAGAACTTTGAAAACGTTTATCGTTCTACATTTATAGCTGAGGTCGCTTGCGGCCGAGGCAGTGGCTCAGTGACACATTTTTTCAGTTATGAATGACAAAATATCAAAGCCATCGTCCAAATAGCACTGATTTTAGAATCTTTGATACTCAGTCAAGTGGATATATTTCTAATTAACTCCAAAAAGAACTTTGAAAACGTTATCGTTCTGTATTTATAGCCGAGGTCGCTTGCGGCCGAGGCAGTGGCTCAGTGACACATTTCTTCAGTTATGAATGACAAAATATCGAAGCCATCGTCCAAAAAGCACTGATTTTAGAATCTTTGATGCTCTGTCAAGTGGATATATTTCTAATTAACTCCAAAAAGAACTTTGAATACGTTTATCGTTCTGTATTTATAGCCGAGGTCGCTTGCGGCTGAGGCAGTGGCTCAGTGACACATTTCCTCAGTTATGAATGACAAAATATCAAAGCCGTCGTCCAAAAAGCACTGATTTTAGAATCTTTGATGCTCAGTCAAGTGGATATATTTTTAATTAACTCCAAAAAGAGAACTTTGAAAACGTTTATCGTTCTGTATTTATAGCCGAGGTCGCTTGCGGCCGAGGCAGTGGCTCAATAACACATTTCCTCAGTTATGAATGACAAAATATTAAAGCCATCGTCCAAAAAGCACTGATTTTAGAATCTTTGATGCTTCGTCAAGAAGATATATTTCTAATTAACTCCAAAAAGAACTTTGAAAACGTTTATCGTTCTGTATTTATAGCCGAGGTTGCTTGCGGCCGAGGCAGTGGCTCAGCGACACATTTCCTCAGTTATGCATGACAAAATATCAAAGCCATCGTCCAAAAAGCACTGATTTTAGAATCTTTGATGCTCAGTCAAGTGGATATATTTCTAATTAACTCCAAAAAGAACTTTGAAAACGTTTATCGTTCTGTATTTATAGCCGAGGTCGCTTGCGGCCGAGGCAGTGGCTCAGTGACACATTTCCTCAGTTATGAATGACAAAATATCAAAGCCATCGTCCAAAAAGCACTGATTTTAGAATCTTTGATGCTCAGTCAAGTGGATATATTTCTAATTAACTCCAAAAAGAACTTTGAAAACGTTTATCGTTCTGTATTTATAGCCGAGGTCGCTTGCGGCCGAGGCAGTGGCTCAGTGACACATTTCCTCAGTTATGAATGACAAAATATCAAAGCCATCGTCCAAAAAGCACTGATTTTAGAATCTTTGATGCTCAGTCAAGTGGATATATTTCTAATTAACTCCAAAAAGAACTTTGAAAACGTTTATCGTTCTGTATTTATAGCCGAGGTCGCTTGCGGCCGAGGCAGTGGCTCAGTGACACATTTCCTCAGTTATGAATGACAAAATATCAAAGCCATCGTCCAAAAAGCACTGATTTTAGAATCTTTGATGCTCAGTCAAGTGGATATATTTCTAATTAACTCCAAAAAGAACTTTGAAAACGTTTATCGTTCTGTATTTATAGCCGAGGTCGCTTGCGGCCGAGGCAGTGGCTCAGTGACACATTTCCTCAGTTATGAATGACAAAATATCAAAGCCATCGTCCAAAAAGCACTGATTTTAGAATCTTTGATGCTCAGTCAAGTGGATATATTTCTAATTAACTCCAAAAAGAACTTTGAAAACGTTTATCGTTCTGTATTTATAGCCGAGGTCGCTTGCGGCCGAGGCAGTGGCTCAGTGACACATTTCCTCAGTTATGAATGACAAAATATCAAAGCCATCGTCCAAAAAGCACTGATTTTAGAATTTTCAGTCATGAGTGACAATCTAGCACTGAATAACAATTAAAACTAATTTGTTTTATATATATATTTTTACAAAGAATTATAATTATTTTGCGTGTAAGTTCAAATAGCGATTTAGATCGCTAATAAAACAATTAACGCTATCGCATGAAAAACCGTTTCGCGGTCGTAAAAAATCAATCCAAACGACCGTAAACTTATTATTGCGTGTAAAAACGTCTAACGGCATGCATAGTAATGGGTTCAGTTAATAATCGGTTTGCGGCATGCTCGCAAATATTATCCATGGGGGCCTCGTGCAACGTTTATTTAATGACCTTAACAAGATATTTGAGCAGTAAATCGAAGCGACAAGGAATTAACGTGTCGTACACGTAGCATAGAATGGCTGACGGGATGCAATTATACATGCGGATGTGAATAGTTGATCAGGTGAACTAAGGGTGCGCTCGCTTTGGGTTAAAATATTTCGAGGAAAGAGAAGCCGTGAGGAAAACAGGTGTTTACGATGTACGCAAGTAGTTACAGCGACCGCTTTCTTTTAATATTGAATCGATAGGACACCGCTATAAATATCTTATGGGGTTCGATTTGGTCTACTCTATTTTTATGCTGTGGCATGTCTGTAAATAGGTTAATAGGATGCCCCATCCGTTTGCCCTGAATGAGAGAAATTTAGAAAAAAGATCTCAAAGGAAACTGATTTCTTTTTATTAAAAATTATTAAAAAAGGGATATTTCTTCGCGGGGACCTTAACTCCCTTTAGGGTAGTGACGAGGGGCGCAGGTCAAGTACGTCTATGAATACAAGTGGTGGATATTAAAACTACGCTCCACCGCGGCGAAAAGATAAAATATGACGTGTGGGACCCGAGAAAAGAAAAAAAATAGGTCGACGTCATCCCCGTTTACCTTAGGTAATATATAAAATGGAAAACTATTGTCAGGACGGGAAGGATCCTGTGGGCAGACGTCGATAGCATCCGAAAACCCCAGGGGTTAACTATCATGCCTTATCAGGATTTTCCTTTCGTCAGGTCTCCTGATAGAGGTTCTTGCAAATTGCTCACGAAAAAAAGAATATTTGTATTTTTCGATTAACAAATAAATACTTTTGTAAACTCTAAGAAAATATTGATAAAATTCATCAAATCTATGCCATTAAAGTGCCATGATTGCGGTTTCAAGGTCGCTTATGTCCGAGTAACTACAATATATTGACCAATTATAGGTTGTATAGTAATAAATGTTAGGGTCTTATCTGCAAGCAACCTCAGTTTACTCAGGCGAAGTCATACATACTACACTCTATGTTTAGACATGGTCCCTTTTTGCTGAGTATCTCGAGCTCGACTTAATCAGACGATGTCATACATTTTCGCTATTATACATAGACAATTCGCTTTTGACTGAGTAGCTGCAACATAATGATCAGTTTTGGCTCAATATGGTATTAATAATAAACTTAGGAGATATTTGTTTATCCCGTTAGCGACGCGTAATTGTTGTTCCAAGATAGGATAATGGATCAAAAAATGACAATCAATTAATCATTCCAATATTTCGATTCTATATTGAATCTTCTTCATGGGGTGAAACTTACTACAAAAATATCAAGTCAAAAGTATTAAAAAACTATCAAAGTACAAACTTTTAAACTTACGATTGTAATGAAACTGCCCAAAAAATTATTAACGGATTTAGTCTAAATTTCTCTTCGTACAAAAAACAAACCACGCCGTTACAATTCATAACGCTTAAGCCCAACCAAGCACATGACCGATCAAGAAAAAGTGAAATGGCAACTTTTTGTGAAGCGAAAAGCGCGCGAAAATAAAACTAAGTTATGCAACCAAACATGTCTTAAAACTATACTACCAAAGATACATCAGAATTTTTAAATTTATTTTACAACAAAATTAACGAATAAATATTACTTAAAGAATCTATATCTATTCTATAGTTCACAGTACCGTATTATAATAATTATTACTAACATCAAGAATCTTAACATTCTCAAAATCAAAAATATGATTATTGTCTAAGCTGTGTTGTGCACATGATCTTTTATTACAGCGTAATTGCAATTTTTCAGTTAAACCAGGAATGTAAATTAATTTTTTATATACCGGAGTATTATTAATAATAAAGCAAGGGTAAATGAATCTAAGATGACACTTAACCCCATTGGATGAATTAAGCGATGTTCCATCTTTCCCAATTATATCGAGTCCCGATCCTGTTCTTGAGCTACACTAGAGTACTTGCCTTTGACTGAATCGTTTATGATCACGAAGCGTTTATAATGAAAGGTGAGATTCTGTCGAAGTGGAGGTAACACGTCTTTGTGGACAGGACTTATTCGGGTTTGCTTTTAACGATATTTTAATGACTTAAATGATAAAGTTATAAAAATGTTTAATTTATAACTAAAATTTTTTAAAGTAAGATATAAAAATCAGTTTTAGTCCAGATTTTGGTTTTAAAAAGTTTAACCTTTAAATTCACAAGCTGTTTGGCGGTTGTGCTTCGGTGACCTCCTTTTGTACTTTTTGTACAGTGAATATTCAAAGTACGGTTTAAAATACGTCGGTACTCCAAAAGTTTTAACACCAGTACTTGCTGACCTAGAAACCGGTCGCGTTTTTGGCAAAAATGTTGGCTGGGTAATTGCCCTATCAGTCTGAAAAATTCGTATACGGTGCGCGAAGAAAGATTGTTGGGAAAATACGCGTTTGTACTTTTTATTATAAACACGATGATGTGATGTATTATTGTTGTGACTTTTGCCTACCTGTCATGAAAGGGGAACAAAAAAGTCCATTAGTCCATAAAAAAATACGACCGGGAACGTGTTTCTAAAACTATTTAATTATTTTTTTTGACGCCACGCATATAAATAATTGACAGATTGGATTTTGCCCGGATCACAGTTGGCAAACAGGATTTTCTTTTTCCCTTCAATAAAAACGAAAACCCTTCAATTTTTTCTCCGGTTTTCCTGGTGCAGCAGATCCGTCTTTCAAGAATATAATCCAGCGATACTTTTATTGCGAAGGGGGAACCCGACAACGCTCTACTTGACCTCTGTGACAGGTTCTTAGGATTTATAGCGGGGGTGACACCTTATAATATTAGGATTGTATCAAACTTCTCATTTACACAAGTTTTTATTTCTTTTCTTTCAGACTTTCCAAAGACGATAAAGCAGAGATACTCAAAACGTAAGTTTTTCAATTAACCCTATCGATCGAATCGACATTATGACCTACAACGCCCGTTCAAAACTTGTTGACGCGTTTTATCTGATATGCAACAAGTTGGTACGTGATTTGCACGTCGGATTGTTGTGTGTACCTGGTAGTTATTGAATTTATACTCCCGGTAAGGAACTTCTGCAATTAATAATTTCAATTTGCCAAACCATTTCCACTCGTTCCAACGTACTTCATATTAAAGATTTAATAAAGCCAGAAAATTGTTTAATATGAACATCCCTCTTTAAAATTTCATCTCAACAACTTTTATTTTTCCTTATTTATATTTATTATTCATTTTTAACTTTTTAAATTTTAATAAAGCTTAAAGAACTTTCAGTTAAACAAGTTTATATCAAGTATATATTATATATATTGAATTTTAGAACGTTGCATTTTTGATGGATTACATGGATATAGTGTGTGGTTAAAATTGCGTGTTTAAGAACGAGGAGGTTTAAATTTAAACATTATTTTATCCTATATTAGTTGTATCTAGGATCTGACAGGCAACCTTATTAACCTCTTGGGAGTGGAGTAAGACCGATCGTTTTTAACAAAAATATGACGCTTAATAAGGAGTAATTGTTTTTCTCGGTTGCAAGATGAAGTTAAAGGCGTCAATTTCCCGCGAAGTAGATAACCCTATTGTCCTCATAATTAAAATCCAAGGCTGAAAGCTGCCGAACTTTCGCAGTTAGCGGTGCGCACGCCGGATCTAAGCTGAATAAGCGAAAGACAGTTTAATGATGCCGAGTGTCGCGAAATGAAGTTCTTGACGTAAGTTCCTGAACTTAACCGTGTCGTCTTGCACAATGACATATGTAAATCCCACCCTTTGCCGTTGAAGCGTTCCTCAAGTGCTGCACTTTAGCTTAATTTATACACACATTCAAGGATACAATCGACCGTTTAAAGTCTTAAACTTGTATTGAAAAAAACTGAAAAAGAATGTTGTTTTAGGATTTATGTAACAGGAGATGAAGTTGAGGGAGTTATTTGAAGTAAAACGTTCACTAATAGCTGAGGGTTTATTAAACTTTTTTCCGTGGTTTGAAATTGCAGTTGATTAGGGGCGGTATTTGGGGTGTCGTGATTGGAGGAGTGGCGTAGCCTGTAATAAAGGCAATAATAAATCACCGGTGCCTCGAAATTATACGTCCCCATCGAAATTCTTTTATCCGGCGATGATATACGCCCGCTTGAGTCATTTACGGTGGTATCAGTTGTAGATTGCGCTGTATTTATGGCAGAAATGTGTCTAGTATGCACTAATTCCACAGCCCTTTTTCATCGACCCGCTCGAACCGGGCCTTTGTTTATCGGTACTCGGATGCAAATTTACACCATCCAACGTTTACGCTCAAAATTCTCCGATCGTATCAGATCTTAATATATATGACCCATCCACAACCGCCTAGAAACATTTCTGTATTTGGTAATTGAAGAGGTAATTAACAGTCGTCTTAACTTAACGTTAGAGTCCATCCAAATTATTTCATTAAACATCATAGCAAAGACGACATGGGCAGGGGAAGGAGTGGGGAAGTGAAATTTAATTAATTAAGAGAAGCTCTTGTGTCAAGACCCGTAGTGCAATGAGAAGTGCCAAACCAAAACAACATTTGAGGTAAATTAGATCATGTCATTTGTGCACCAGAGGTAAGATATCCCTATAAACTTTCATTTACGTAACTAATTGGAAATAAAGTAACGAATAGGAAAGCGATTTCGTGGTTTTCGGCTATAGAACGCTATAAATCCGTCGATTTTCACGGAACGACGGAGAAACAAAACCTGGCAAAGAAAAAAATCGAGCGATCATTAATTTTAAATTCTTTTGTAGCGTGTTTTTTTCAAGGAGCCAGTCTCGGGAAAAATTCCGTTGTAATAACGACCCTTACACACCCCTTCCACCGCTAGAAGTGATTAATTTTCATATTGTGTTTTTGCAGGATGGTAATTTGCGTTCAGCGCCGCTTTTTTTTTTCCTTTCAGGTTACATTTTCTGCACCTCCAAAATCCAATTGTAAGTTAATATAAGACTTGCCTTTCTTCTCAAACAATATTACGGTTTAATTATACACCCAGTCTATGTATTTATTATGCAATCAACGGTAATACTAGTAAGTTATTACACTCAACTAAATTAAAAATATACCATTAATCTCAAAAAGCTACTACAACCGGAGGATATGTACGTTTCCGTAAAGTTTTATACGCCGACCTCATAAAGTAACCCTGATTTATTTCCCCATATAAAACGAAATAAGGTGGTGAAAATCGAATTCTCCTCGGCGCGTCGTCCTCAGACTAAAAAAATTAACGCTCTTAAATAGATTAAGCAAACTTCCCAAGGCATTTTTAAAGCGCACTACCACCTCCTGTGGGGATCCGCGAAAGCGAGCCTCCCTCTTCGCTAATTCAACTAAACTTGCCCACTAAATTAGACGGTACTTCCTCAATACTCCCCACGTATCTAGCGGAACTAATTTCCACTGTAATTGTAAATAACAACTGCCGGAATTTACAGGCTGCTAAAATTATTTCATTTCGACTAACTTTAATGCCCCGCAACTTGTATTTCAACCCACAGAACTTCCGAACACTCGAGGTCTCATTACAAGTTACCGCTTGCTTCGTTCAAAATGAAACACACTCATAATCAGTATAATCGCAATATTTTCTAATCTAATCTATCCGATTTCTATGAGTTAGATAAGTTTTTAATAAATTCCAACCAGTTGTCAATTATTATACTAACCATACCAACTTGTATTAGACAATTTTTTACTAATTTTGAACGATATGAAATACACTATTGGAAATAATTCACGAGCACACCCTATATAATCTGAACGTGTGTGCCTAACACAATGAAATTTGGTATGGATGTAGTACTAAAATAGTGTAACTTACCCTCACATGGAGAGCGGCGCAACTTTGCTGGGTTGCATCAATCACCACTTGGAAGGGCGGCTCAGTCAACAATGCCGTGGCAGAAAAACTCAAAACTTGCTGATTAAACTCGTCTATAGTGAACCTTTATGCCCCGCAAATATTATGGATTTATCTTCACGCGTTCAGATTATATAGGGTGTGCTCGTGAATTATTTCCAACAGTGTAGTTATAAGCTAGTTCCCAATGATTTAGATAAATTTTTAATGATTACTAATCATCTTTTATTGATTTTGACCAACCTAGAATAACTAGATTTATAACTATGATTTAGACAAGTTTTTTATAAATTCCAACCAGTTGTCAATTATTATGAACAACTTGTATTAGGTATAAATCATTTTTCAATTATTTAGACAAGTTTTCAATCATTTTGTACAACTTGGGATAGCTATGAATCAATCATTATACAGGGTGTCCCACAACGATTGTACAAGACTGCATCAACGTATTCTCTGATCGAAAATAGACAAAAAAAGTCTAATAAACACAGGTCTGAAAATGTACCATTTCGAGATATTCAAAGTTTTAGTTTCATAAGTTGACCTATTGTTAACATCATTAATTGTAACGATTTAGATGCAGTAATTATATGATTACCATGGTTAAGATAAAATTTAATAAATAATAAGATAATATTAAGTTAATTAATACAGTTCATTAATAATTTAACAAAACAAGTAACAAAGACTGTCGAAGAAAATCGTTCAACCAGCATAAAAACAACAAATATTTAACAAATTGGAAAAGATTCATGTCATAATTTGTTTTACTGTGTCAAATGCATTACTAATTTTATTTTTCAAATCCTGCACAATTTGAACGTCTTCAGAATAAACTATTTGTTTTAAATGTCCCCAAAACCAAAAATCTAACGGATTTAAATCTGGTGAACGAGGTGGCCCTCCTCGGCCAATCCACTTATTGCCAAATCTGTTGTTTAAGTATGCTCGAGTAGCACGTGCATAATGTGCATATCGTGCATAAAGTAGCAATCTTCTAGAATTTGTTGAGGTAATTCATCAAATGCCTCTGTAAGGTCATTTTGTAAAAAATGTATGTAAGCATCGGCTGTCAATCTCTTTGGAAGAAAAAATGGACCTAATAACTGATCACCTATAATTCGAGCCCATACATTAACACTGAATCGGCACTGATGATGAGTTTCTAGTGCATAGGGATTTTCATCATTCCAAACATGCGCATTATGAATATTAAAAATTCCGCTTTGAGTAAATGTTACTTCATCCGTAAATACAATGTTTATGGGAAAGTCGACGTTTACTACCTCTTCCTATATGGCTCACCTACAAAAAATCTCTCTTTTTCGCCATCATTTTCTGTTAGAGCTTGAATGGTGTTGTAATGATAAGGATAAAGCAACTGCTCCCTTAAAATGCCGTGAACGGTTGTTTTGTTAATGTTTTTTTTTTGTGCAGAATTTCTTCTAATGCTGGTTGAAGCATTTTCATCAACTCTTCTCAAAACTGCTTCTTCTAATTCCACCGGCCTTGTGGATATGGTGTAATAATACACCATATCCGCCATCTCTTCCTTGGAGTAATTAATAGGAGCCATACTTAATAGTTTTATTAAATTAAATAGTAAAATAATAATTTCGTGAAGTATTATTTTTTTTTTGATTAAACAACTTATCGTAATCATAGTAACGACTTAATTATTATAAAAACAAATTTAAATTCATGATGTTAACAATATCAACTTATGAAACTAAATCTTTGAATATCTCGAAAATGGTCGATTTTCTGACTTATGTTTATTAGGCTTTTTTTGTTTATTTTCGATCATATAATACGCTGATGCAGTATTGTACAATCGTTGCGGGACACCCTGTATACACTGTCTTGCACATCATTGCAAGTATGCAACCAATATCTCAGTATTGATATTGCAATACGCAAATCGCGTATTATATTATATTGTGATATTGGTTGCATACTTGCAACGATGATGTCGGGTACGATAATTAATTAGCACACTGTATATA